TTTGGGGGGGGCAAAACCCTCCTTCCCGGCAAGGGGGTGGTTTGTACCACTTGTTGTTAAAAAGGTAAAGTTTTCTGGGGGCGATTACACAGGGTTTTAAATTTTTTTTGGAAGGGAAACCCCCGGAAAATAAATTAAGTTATTCGTAACGTTTTTCGGTAGCCAGGGAAGGAAGCCCAAGGTCCGCAACACCCTTACCGGGAGGCAGCTCCCCCTTTTTGGGACTTCCCACCTCCCTCAAGGGGTTTGGCGCTTGTTGTGGTGGGGGCTTGTTTCTTGGAGAACCCGGGGTGTTCCGTCCCGGCTTTGTAGGGAGGGGGGGTCAAAGGTAAAAGGGTTTGGGCTGGCGGGGTTTGGGGTCCCCCCCCCCCCCCCCCCCCACCGTTTCGAAAGGGACGGGTGGTCAATGGTCAAATGATTACGGCAAGCAACAAATGAGTACGCCCCCCCCCCCGCACCCCCCCCGAGAGCCGAATGCGAAGACCGTGTTCATGTAGTCGCGGAATGTCCGTGGTACGAAGAGGAGAGGGAAGTGTACATGACTGAGCTGGGAAAAATACAAGCGACGTACAGGGAGATGTTTGAGGCATGGAATAGAGAGGAGAGGACGGTAGCTGTACTGGGGAGTAGGAAGTGGTTTGAAAAGGCGGGAAGGGATATCGTTAGGATAGACAGACTAGGGAAGACATTTTTGAGCCACCTTTGGCAAAGTAGGAAGGAACGATTGGCCATCGGTGATCGGTAGTGTGGGAACAATGCTCCGTCCTCTCGAGGACGCGTGGTCAATGGTTTAACCGCTAAGGCATGCAAAACATAAGAGTACACCCCCCCCCCGAGAGCCGCCTCCCCGGTGTTTGCCATCGGGATTGGGTTTCGCCGCTTGGCAACGACGTTGTACAACAAGCCAATTCACTTCGTGAACTCGGCAACCAGGTTACCGTTTTTTTTTACCTTTGTTTTTTTTTTGGCGGTAACCATAATGATGGTCGAGTAGATCATGTCGTGCGGGGTCGAGAACCCTCACTCCGCGCAAGGGGGATGATCGCACCACGTTCTGTTAAAATGGCCAAGCGTCCTCGAGGCAGTTTCACAGTGCTTACAACTGTCTCTGGAAGTGAAAGCACCAGAAAATAAATTAAGTCATACGTAGCTGTCATCCGTACGCAAGGAAGTAAGCACAAGCTGCCGAACACCCTTAGCAGGATGCAGCGCATCCTTCATGCGACTCGCCGAATACCTCACGGCGCTTCGCGCTTGGTGATGTGAGAGCCTGGTCCGGTGAGAACCCGGCGTGCTCCGTCCCGGCTTTGTAGGGATGCGAGGTCAATGGTCTAACGACTACGGCATGCACGACTATGAGTACACCCCCCACCCGAGAGACAAGTAAAAGCCCCCTACAGTAGAAACTACGACTTCTCCCCTGCTGCCCCACCCTGACAAACGAGAACGGCAAAGGAACACCATGAGTATCTTGGAGCGAACCCAGTGAACATGTTCTTCCCTCTACGTGAATCTTTTGACATTCGACCTGAGATGAGGCCGTAAAGCAGATTCCAACAAGTTTTGCCTCGCTTCGCGTTGTGTGCCTTTTGGTGTTCGGTCAGACCAACAGTGACGCGTATTCCTAACTCTGTACGTCTGAACATTCTACCGACACGAAAGACAAAACCGGCGCTGGGGACGAAGGAGCGCTGTGGATCGTCAAGCCTAGCGACTCCTCCCGTGGGCGGGGGGTGTACCTGCTGCGGGAGCTTGGGGAACTAGCTTACGACCGCCTGTCCATCGTTCAAAGGTGGACAAATTGCCGTAGCCACTCCTACTAGTTTCTGGGGCTGGCGCACGAGGGGGGGGGGGGGGGGGG